CTGAGGGAGGAGGGGCTGGGGACATGGACTCCTGGGTCTGAGGGAGGAGGGGCTAGGGGTCAGTACTCCTGGGTCTGAGGGAGGAGGGACTGGGGACATGGACTCCTGGGTCTGATGAAGGAGGGGCTGGGGACATGGACTCCTGGGTCTGAGGGAGGAGGGTCCAGGGGCTGGACTCCTGGGTCTGAGGGAGGAGGGGCTGGGGACATGGACTCCTGGGTCTGAGGGAGGAGGGTCCAGGGGCTGGACTCCTGGGTCTGAAGGAGGAGGGGGGTGGGGGTCAGGACTCCTGGGTCTGAGGGAGGAGGGGCCGGGAGCCCAGACTCCTGGGTCCTATTGGAGGACACGCATAGTCATAACCCTTACTGCTCCCCAGCCAGGTACCCCAACTCTCTGCAATGCGTGAACATCAACATCTCTTCTGAGCAGGAGTGCCAGAAAGCCTATTCTGGAGCCATCACTCCTGGCATGATCTGTGCAGGAGTCCCCCAGGGTGGCAAGGATTCCTGCCAGGTGAGGCTCAGGGTGAAGCTGAAGAAGGTGACACGTAACTGTTATTTATTTATTTATTTATTTATGTTTTATTGTGAATTATGTGATAGTTTACATGGGAGAACATTAGTTTTACATTCATCCTATCCTATATCGTTTCATTGCCATACAATCCCCTCCATGCATCATCAATCAACCAAAGGATATACACTACAGGCCTGTCGTCCCCCCCACCCCACCCCCCACAGCCCTTCTCCCTCTCTGGGTCTAAAGTCCCCAGCTGCTCCATCTTTCCACGTCATCGTCTCTGCCTCCATCTCAGGCATCACTGCTTCTCTGGATAGGGTCCCGCTCTTCTCCCTTCATGGTCCCAGGACCTCTGCTCCTAAACTGCAAAGTCAATCACTCCCCTCCCTGCTACAAAACGTCTACCTTTACTTTTACAACCCTCACAATCAGGCCTGATAACAATTATTCACTATTGTATCACAAGAGACCTATCCGAGACACTTAAACTCTTGAAGGTCTCAGGAAGGAAGAGGTCCAGAGAGGAAGTGAAACCCCAGGACTGAGAGTCATTGGTATAGCCAGTCTAAGCTGCAGTACAAGCTTGGTAATGAGTTCTTTCAGCCTCAATTTTCTCATCTGTTAAGTGGGTAACTGGTAGGATTAGATGAGATAGATAATCTATGAGAAGAGCATAAGGCAGTACCTACATATAGTTCTAAGGAGCTCTGGTAGCGTGGTTATGAATCAGGCTGTGAACCTTAAGGTCAGCAGTTTGGAACTACCAGCTGTGAAACATGACACTTTCTGCTCCCGTAAAGATTTACAGCCTCGGAAACCCTGTACAGGGTCGCTTTGGGTTGGAACCAACTCGACTTAACAACAACTAATGACTACTATCACCATTGTTATCACTACCTTGGTGGCATAGTGGTTTAAGCATTGGGCTGCTAATCAAAAGGTCAGCGGTTCAAACCCACCAGCCACTCCTTGGGAGAAAGATAAAGCAGTCTGCTTCTGTAAAGAGTTACAGTGTTGGAAACCTTAGGGAGCAGTTTCACTCTGTCCAGTAGGTTCTACAAGTGGGAATTGACTCAATGGCAGAGGTTTTGGTCTATATGGAAAACGACAAGGAGCCCTCGTGGTATGGTGGTTAACACTGGTAACCTAAAGGTCAGTGGTTTGAACCCACCTACCATTCTATGTGGCAGTCTGTTTCCGTAAAGATTTGTTGTTGTTGTGATGTGCTGTGGAGTCGGTTCCGACTCATAGCTACTCTATAGGGTTTCCGAGGCTGTAAATCTTTACGGGAGCAGAAAGCCTCATCTTTCTCCCGTGGAGCGGCTGGTAGTTTCGAACTGTTGACCTTGTGGTTCGCAGCCCGATTTGTAACCACTACACCCCCAGAGCTCCTTTTGGGGCAGTTCCACTCTGTGATACAGAGACCTTTGTGAGTCAGAGTCAACTCTATGGCAGCAGGAAGCCTAGTGATGATAGTAGTTGTTGTTGTTAAGTACCATTGAATTGGTACTGACTCACAGCGATCCTGTATAGAGTTTCTGAGGTTGTAAGTCTTTGCAGGAAAAGAAAGCTTCATCTTCCTCTCCTGGAGCAGCTGGTGACCTCGAACCACCAACCCTGTGGTTCACATTCCAGTGTTTATCCTACAAAGCTACCATGTTCTCCTGTTGTTGTTGTGTGCTGTGGAGTCGGTTCTGACTCATAGCGACCCTGTACAGGGTTGCTGAGGCTGTAAATCTTTACAGGAGCAGAAAGCCTCATCTTTCTCCTGAGGAACAGCTGGTAGTTTTGACCTGCTGACCGCAAGATTAGCAGCCCAATTTGTAACTACTATGCTACCAGCTGTCCACTATCCCCTGTAGGGATATGGAAAATTGGACTCAGAGCACCTAAACATCTTTATCCAGCCCTGAGAAAGGCAGAGACCAAGATGTAAAAAGAAAGAAACAGGGTGTCTAGGAATACAGCTAAGATGAAAAGGGGACCAGGGACACCTAAGGACGGAGACACAGGGACGGATCAGGAATCAGCAGAGAGGGAAGGAAGTGGCCCCTCTCCCCCACCCGCAGGCTGCGATCTCTGAACCGAACATGACCACGCTCACAACTCTGGACATATGTCATGGGTGTCTCTGTGTTTGTTCCTCTCCTTCAGGGTGACTCTGGAGGCCCCTTGGTGTGTAGAGGACAGCTCCAGGGTCTGGTATCCTGGGGGATGGAGCGCTGTGCCCTGCCTGGTTACCCGGGGATCTACACCAACCTGTGCCGGTACAGAAACTGGATCCAGGAAACTATGCGGGCCAAGTAACCATCCGTGTAAACTGTTGTGTGGATGCCAGCTGCCTCTCCTGCTTCCTTGTGACCCTCCTCCCTCAGACCTGGGAGTCCAAGCCCCCTGCCCCCTCCTCTGTCAGACCCAGGAGTCCTGACCCCCAGCCCCTCCTCCCTCAGACCCAGAAACCCTGACCCCCCCAGCCCCTCCTCCCTCAGACCCAGAAACCCTGACCCTACCCTCCTGACCCTTACCTCTGGGTCAGAACTCCCATTTCTTAGCAAAGTTCCTTCAGGTCTCCTCTCCCCACCCTTCCTCCCCAAACTCACATGACACCATGATTTCAGGCACCGGGGCAGTAAGGTAAAGGCTCCAAATTGGCACCATATTCCAAAGCAGACACTTTTCAGGACTCTCATTGCATCTACATAGAAGATTATCATCATGATAATAAATTGAGTAATCCCAAATTGTATTCATTTGTTCATTTCATTCCTTCAATACGCTCGTGCACAGCGGCCCCATCCTGCCCTGTCAGGAGCTGAGTTCCAACATGTGGCTGACTCTGTGTTGATGGCTTGTAACCACTACGCTCCCAGAGCTCCTTTTGGGGCAGTTCCACTCGTCATACAGAGACCTCTGTGAGTCAGAGTCAACTCTATGGCAGCAGGAAGCCTAATAATAGTAATAGTAATAGTAGTTGTTGTTGTTGTTGTTAAGCACCATAGGCAGGGGTTTCTGAGCTTAAGAGAAAGCAGGGCAGGAACCTACGTGTTTCCTGAAAAACACTATGCAAATAGAAAGAGCTGGTTTTTCCCTGGTCACATCTCAGGTGAGGGGAGTTGAATTAAGAATACTTTTGAGTTCACGGTCTAGCATTCCTTCTTCCTGACTCAATTCCCCTCCCTCTCCACAGGCACGGGCTCGAATAGTCTCAGATATTTTGTATCCCTTGGAAAATGTATTGTGTGTGCTGTGTTTTCTAATCTGCAGGAAGCCACTGCATTCTGGGAAGGGCCGGTGTAGTGCTGTTGGAAAAACACTGCAATGTTAACCAATCAAAATGTTGACGATTCAAACCCACCAGCTGCTCCTTGGAAAGTCTGTACAGGGTTGCTATGAGCAGAAACCAACTCGATGGCACTTAACAACAGCTGTGTTAGGAAAAAAAGACCCCCAGCCTTGCAGAGGGTTAAGCATTGCGCTGCTAACTGAAAGGTCAGCAGTTTAAGCCAACCAGCCACTCTGAGTGAAAAACATGAGACTGTCTGCTCCCATGTAGATTTACAACCTGGGAAATCCTAGCAAGCCATTCTGTTCTATCCCAAAAGGTTGCAATGAGTAAGAATCGAGTAGCCCACAATAGGTTTAGTGTGTCATGATTCTCCTCTGCTGTTGTGAAGTGCTATCGAGTCAATTCTGACCCATAGTGACCTTCTATAGGGTTTCCAAGGAGCAGTTGGTGAGCTTGAACTGCCGACCTTGCAGTCCAAATGATTTTGCAATCTGACGCATTAGCCCACAGCGTCATACCAGGTCTCCATTGTTGTTGTTGTTGTTGTTATGTGACATCGAGTCGGTTCCGACCCATAGCGACCCTGTATAGAGTTTCCGAGGGTGTAAATCTTTACGGGAGTAGAAAGCCTCATCTTTCTCCCGCGGAGCGGCTGGGTCTCCATTAGTTAGTGCTTATTTGGGGGTGGGGGGGAAGGGTACCTAGGAGATCACAGGCGATGAAAATGATAAATGCACTGGACCTTGTCTCCTAACAAAAAGGCTGGAGGTTTGAATGCACTCAGAGGTGCTTCAGAAGAAAGTCCTGGCATTCTACTTCTGAAAGCTCAGCCTCTGAAAACTCTGTGGAAGCACAGTTCTACTCTGACACATATGTCACGATTCCTGGAGTCAGAATCGACTCCCTGGCAACTGGTTTTACTCTGCATTGGGCGTTGTTCTAAGGAGTCCTGGTGCAGCTGTGGGTTAAGCATCTGGCTGCTAACTGAAATGTCAATGGTTTGAACCCACCAGTGGCTCCACGGGAGACGATGAGGCAGTCTGTTTCTGTAAGGAACAGCCTTGGAAGCAGTTCTGCTGTGTCCTATAGGGTCACTATGAGTCAGAACTGACTCTAGCAGTGGGGTTGTAGCCGTTGTTCTGGGTGTGGGGGAGATATCTGTGGACAAAGCAGACAAAATCCCTGTGTGCACAGAGCTTAAGTTTTAGAAGGGGAAGACAGATGAGAAACAATAGCCTTTAAAAAGTCGAAGCCCTGTTGAATATAAAAGTGGATACGACGTGAGCTGGGGGCAGACCCAGTGTATGTCTGAGCTGGTTTATGCCAGTTTGCAAGAGCTTATTGCCAAATGGTGTGGAATTTTGAGAGCTAGTTATTAAACACAAAACTAGTTACCACCGAGTCCATGTGACTTGTGGCGACCCCGTGTGTGTCAGAGTAGAACTGTCCCATAGGGCTTTCAAGGCTGTAGGTTACCAAGCCTTTAATGTAGGTTACCAAGCCTTTCTTCTGAGGTGCTTCTTGATGGACTTGAACCTCCATCCTTACAGTTAGCAGTCAAGCACACTGACCATTTGTACCAGCCGACTCACGGCGACCCCATAGGACAGAGTGGAGTTTCTCCCTAGGGTTTTCAAGACCGTAAATCTTTGAGAGACAGCCTCATCTTTCTCCAGTAGATCCACTGGTGAGTTTGAACTGCTGACCTTACAGTTAGCAACCTACCACTTAACCTGCTGCAATACCAGAAATTATATAAAGGATTGCAAGGAAATGAATCTGTACCTTTTGTGTTAAGGTCACACATACATACACCTTAGCTCTCATATGTACTAAGACCCATGAAGAAGCAGGTAAAAGAATGTACTTGGGTAAATTTGGACACCCTGATGATATGAAGATATAGTGCATGTTATGATTCTTACCCTGTATCCTGTGGCGCTGTAGGATCAGCACTGGACTGCTAACCACAAGGTTGATGGTTCAAGTCCAGCAGCCGCTCCTTAGAGACCCTATAGAGCGTTGCTATGAGTGAGAACAGACTCCACAGCACTTAGCAACATTCTTCTATAAAACCAAAACCCAAACCAGGTTCCTTCACGTTGATTCCAACTCATGGTGACCTCATGTGTGTCAGAGTGTGTCATGTGTTCCATTGGATTTCTGGATTTGCCAAAGTAGATCTCAAAGCCTTTCTTCGGAAGCGGTTCTGGGTAGACTTGAACCTCCAAAATTCCAACTCAAAGTTGAGCCCGTTGATTGTTTACACCACCGTGCCATCAAGTCAGTTCTGAATCATAATGATCCCTTGCACAACCAACACTACCTGTTCCTGTACCATCTGCTCATTGTGGCTGCCTCTGCGTCAGTCCATTGTGTTGAGAGTCTTCCTGTTTCATGCTGATTCCTTATCCTTCTAAACTTTTTAAAGTACCTTAAAGCTTATTGTAACCTGGTTTCCAACCCATAGTTCCATCTGTGGTCATTGAGTATTATATGTTATTAATTCTAAGACACACATTGGACAATGAATAAGGAAGACCGTAGAAGAATTGATGCCTTTGGATTACGGAGTTGGAGGAGAATATTGAAAATACCATGGAAAGCCAGAAGGATAAACATCTGTCTTGGAAGAAGTACAACCAGAATGCTCCTTAGATTCAAGGATGGTAAGACCTCGTCTCTCATACTTCGGGTATCTTATCAGGAGGGACCAGTCCCTGGAGACGGACATCATGCTTGGAAAAGTGGAGGCTCAGTAAAAAAGGAAGACCCTCAATGAGCTGGACTGGCACCGTGGCAGCCACAATGGACTCAAACATAATCGCTGGGCAGTGTTAATGTTCTGTTGTGCACAGGGTCGCTAGGAATCGGAACCAACTCAATGACACCTAACAACAACAACAAAGTAACACATTAACGGGCCCTGGTTGTGCAATGGTTTAAATGTTGGGCTACTAACCAAAAGGTTCGAACCCACCAATCACACAGAGGGACAAAGATGAGACTAACTGCTCCCACGAAGATTTACAGCTTCAGTAACCCTAGGGAACAATTAATTCTACTCTGTCCTATAAACTTGCTATGAATTGGAATTCCTCGATGGCAGACGATTTAAGACACATATTCTTTCTGAATTTTTTACCATCACTGAAATCAGTAGGCACCTGACAACTAACTGATGGTATGTTAGCATTGTGTCATAATTTAATTGGCACCTTATTTTTCTTAATAGTATGCAAAATTAATAGTAATTTCTCAATAGTATGTAAGTACTATCAATGTTGTTTCTGATTCAGTGAAGTAAGGTAATGAAAGAAAGTGAGGGTAGGAGAGGAATCAGGTTGTGTTAATAAATTGTTGTCGGTGTTGCCCAGTGCTATTGGTTTGGTTCCGACTCATAGTGACTCTCTATAGGGTTTCTGAGGAACAGCTGGTGAGCTTGAACTGCTGACTTTGAGATTCAAATCAACCTTTCGATCCAGTGATTATCCTACAGTTCTACACCACTGTGAAGTCCCTGGGGGTTGCAAATGGGTCATGAAAAGGTTGAAGCTTCAAGTCCATCCCTCAAAAGAGTGTGTGGAGATCTACTTCTAAAAACTCTGCCACTGGAACCCAATGGAGCTCATCTTGTGCAGCCATGATTGCTAACTTTATGAGATGAATTGACCTCATCTCATAAACATAAAGAGCAGTGGTAATGCAGTAGGAACTCTGGCTGCCAACCCAAAGGTCATCGGTTCAAATCCATTCATCGCTCTGTGGGAGAAACACGTGGCGGTCTGCTTCTGTAAATATTTACAGCCGTAGAAACCCTGAGGGGCAGTTCTACTCTGTATAGGGTCACTATGAATAAAAAGCAACTTCATGGCAATAGGTTTGATTTGTTGTAAACTCATTACCCCCTAAGTAAAAGCTCCCAGAATCTGCCTTTTAACAAGATTCCCAGAGAACTCAGTGAACATTAAAGTTTGAGAAGCATCACTCCATGGGTTGCATCTACCATATTGAATGACCC